GCCTTTGCATTGGATGAAATTTCTCCACGCGCACCTTCAATCTGAAAACTCAATCATGTTGTTATAGTTGCTGTTGCAATCTCGTGCTGAATGTGGTGGATTCCTGTGTGGTTTCATTGTGTTAGGAGCAGAAGGGCTATGCGGAACTGTGATATCAATTTGTTTACCACTATCCAAGATGAGACTCTTGCCGTTGGAATATTATTAATCCGGACTGCGAGAATATAGCTAATCACCGAGTTTCTCCTTATCATACCTAGGTCCGGCGATGGCAATTCTACTCGAACGTGGACTACTCGTCGCTCTCATGGTATATATATACTGCGGATATTAGAGACGGAAGCAATGTGTTTTATGCTCCCTTTGGGGGAATCTCGTGTCCGAATGGGTATGACGAATACTAGTATTTGCTCGGCGGCAATGAGGTGTTGGATGTTCAAGACGATAAGGGTTACCTAGATATGCCCCAGGTATTTCAACTTCGCGTTCAACTGTAACCACCACTGGTAATCAACACCCGCGGTTGTGTCATTGGGAAACCTGAGGAAAGTGGAAATCTTCTGGTAGAAAGCGGCAGAAAACCACATAACATTTCGGGGCCCTTAATAGCGCCACTTAGGAAACGTATTAACTAGAGCTAGAGAAACGCGAACTTGCGCATCAGGGGTTTTCATTAGATGTCGCCAAGAGAGATGGTGTTCCTACTGCCGCTCCTGCAACATCCCCCCCTTAGCAAGAAGGTTTGGAGGATGCATGAAGGGTAAGGGAATGGGAGCTCAGGTCTCGCCACTGACACCAGATCTCTCCAAAGAGCGGATTCAGGTTGCGTTGGCCAATGGCTTGTCGGATCGTAAGCCGTTTCGCCTTCCCCCCCTCAACCCCTTTTTCAAGGAAAGAAAGGAAGCTGCTTGTTTCTCCTTTCGTACTCACAGGAGGAAGCCGATTAGTTTTATCGCTAGTATTGGGGCGATTTCTATCACAGAGCTCGTAGCGATGAATGTACTCTCGGAACTCTCCTCTCCTCTCCTCACTTCCACTATACCAATGAATTTACAATCTACAAGTACATACAAGCACGCACACCCTCTTGTTTTTGTTCATTTCAATAAACGAATCAATTAAACCAAATGAAGTAACCAAAATCCCCAACATCAAAACAGCCCGCAATTCTCGCGAACTCCGGCATGAGAACACAAATAAAGGGGGGCCGTCATTTCGTTAAGTTAGTTCATCTGCTTTCATTAACTGGGAGACTTACGAAGCTTTCCCCTTCTCTCCTTGATAAAGGGTACATGCATATCTAGATATAGAGTGGGTAAAAGGAGACCTTGTTTGGTCTATTTGCTTCGGGATATTAGCAGAAAACAAAACGAAGTGAAGAGAAAAAAGAGCCCTTCAAAGGAATTAAATCAATGCTTATCTACGTCTGTTGTTCTATTGAAAACATTTGAACATAAGAAACAATAGACGTGATGATGTGAATGTGAATGCGGGTTCCATCACCAGATAGTAAGAGAAATGAAAGCAATAAATAAGAAGTGCTGTACATTAGGACAGAGAGCTACATGACCTGTTCAAGACAAGCTACAAAGCTCCAAGTCCCTTTTTCCTTCCTCCCTTGACTTGGTTCTGCTTGGTTGGTAAACAGCAGTAGATAGAACCGAATGGATATGGGGGAATGTTTAGTGGAGATAAAGTACAAGATGCAGGAAAAAAATGGAAAATGTATATACAAATATATAAAATATCTAACATCGTTATGGTGAGACTCATACCCTTCCTCGCCCCCACCTCCCGGGTTTGCAAACTCTATCTTGCTAAGATAAAAAGTAGTACTAAAATATTGGAGTGATTGAGAGAGCGAAGGAGAGAGGAGGGAGTGCGGAGGAAGAGGATGCGGATGAGGAACAAAGGGGGCTGAAAAAAGAGAAAGGTGGTTAACAAGTGGTTTGATGTGTCTTTACAAAATTTTTAGCCAGTGGGTTGGGGGGAAATATTAGGAAGTAAATAAATACATCCTTTTAATCATGGTTTTTAGAACAAAAAAGAACGTTCCCATATTTATTTATTCTCTCCACTGTTTGATTCATTCAAATTGTCTCTATATATTACTTAGTACACACAACAAAAAAATTAAAAAAATAATATATAAATAATAGAAAGGGGACAAACGAATATACGTAATATTCTTGCGTGGTAGAAAATGGGCTAATGGTGAAAAGGAAAGAAAAGGGGCAAAAAGGTGGAACAACTGAATTATGCATTAGATGTTGAGGTCGTTGATGGTGATTCCGGAGACCCCTGATGCTCTACAGCAGTTTTCAGCGGTGGTGCAGGTACCCCTTTGACTGTTTCTGCCGTAGATGGCGGGTGTTGTGGTGAATGCGGTTCATCTTCCTCCACCTTCGGGAGCACAGTGACACCATCTTTCGGCGTTTCTGCAATGGATGTTGATGGGTTCTCTTCGGGAATCGTCGGTTCGGGGAACGAGCAAGGGAAAACCATAGAAGGGGGCGGAGAAGGTTGAGGAGTTATGACTGCTGCTGTTGTCCCCACGACTGGAGCGTCTAACGGCTCT